TTTTTTTTCTTATGTTAAAATCTCTTAAATTGGAATACATGTAAATTTGTGAATACTTTAGTTGAAAATTCCTTGTAAGACCAAGAAATTGTTAGCATCAAAGTCATCTTTTTGGTACAATGAAATACAGTTACACAAGTAAGGTAAATAATGTGTTTTTTTAAAGTAATATTAGTGCTGTAGACAAATTAGACTCATTTTCTTTTTCATTTCTCATGGAGAAGAATATTTCAGTTTGCTTATAAAGTTCCTTAAAATTTACAAACATGTTCACAAGCATTATTTAATTTCAACATCATAACATTTATGTAAGGAAGGGAAGAGTTAGTGTGTCACCCCTTTGAACAGTAATAAACCAAGTCTTGTATGTTAAATGCTTTGGTGGTTATATTGTTGGTAAGAGTTGAAGCCAGAAACCCTAACTTCTATTTTACGGACATGCTTCAGTGTAAAGACAGAGAAGTCATGTGTTAGTTATTGGCTTTGAAGCCCGGAGTTCTGGAATAATTTGTAATGAAGACATGGTGAATTCACAGAGTGTTATCTTTTTACCTGTGGCTTCCACACCTTGCACCAGTCAGGAATGGCCAGGTTAGCAATGTGAAGTGATGTGTGCCAGCCTGTGTAACTCCAGGTTTTCACCAGGACAGTGACCTGCTGGACCGACGGAAACACTGTTTCACCGTGCAGTCTGAGTCTGGGGAGGACCTGTACTTCTCAGTAGAGCTGGAAAGTGACCTCGCCCAGTGGGAAAGAGCGTTCCAGACAGCAACCTTTCTAGAAGTAGAACGGATACAGGTGAGAGTCTGTGAGACCGCAGGATGTGTGGCTCGCTCAGATGCATGTCCACTTCCCTAGAATTCTAATATCAATCCAAAGTAGTGTAAAAATCCAGTTCCAGGAGTCTTGACCTCAAATACATTCCATAATTAGTCATTTTTATTTAGTGACGAATAATACAGCTCTGAATAAAATTTTAATCTTTCCACAACTTGATCTTTCCAGGCTATTTCCTACTACTAATCAAAAATATATTTCTAATTTTAATTAGACATTACTCTGACTTAAATCTAATATAGAAAATACTCTAATTTAATTAATTGTTGACAAGGTCACTTCCTGTTCTCCAAATATGACCTCCTAATTTCCAATCTGTTGGCATCATTTACTCACAATGCTCTTTCTTCTAGAAAACCTTCCCTTTGCCTCCGTCCTTCAAAGCCTTATAGCGGTTTTGAAACTTTTTATCAAAGGTCATATCATCCAGGAACATGTTCCTGATTTCCAGCCCACCATGCCTAATGCTTGCCAATACTCCTCCTACAATTATCCTGTTCAAACAACTCTTCTTCTCACTTTTGAACACGATATAACATACTTGTCTGTTTTTTTTTTTTTTACAGAAAAGAAAATGCAAACTAATCAATTTCATTCATACTATTCGTGAAAAGCAATTACATTTTTACTTAAAATCATTAACACATATAAGAACAAAAATCATAAAACTGATACATCTGATTGGAAATACAATTATAGGAAATAGATTTTAAAATAGCATAGTTTAGTGATAAAATTCATACCATATTTTCTACTTATTTATAGCAGCATCTATAAGATTCTTCCATTTATTTGTCTGTTCTTTAAGGGTTGCTCACACTCAGTCTGTTTTGTATTGCAGTGACATGTGCTTGTTATTCCCTGCACTAAATTATAGATTGTTTGGAATTATCTTATTCATGTGCCAACCATGGTCCAGTGCATTTTGCACATCATGAGTAGTCAACAGATATTTATTGAACTTTGTTTCTTAACTGTGAAGTTATACACTAGATCAAACTTTATAGAGCCCTCAACCTCTGTCTTCACAAGAACATTGAATGAAACAGCCTCCCAAAGTTGGTTCTGTGGCTGACCTCAAACAGACCTGTGGACAAACTGAAAGGTTATCATGCGCTTGCCACATGCAAATGGATCCATAGAGCAAGAACCTAAATACACACATGGACACTTAATTATGAAAACAAATATGGTGAATAATCTAGCATTGACTATTCTGGAAAGTTTGCTTAAAATAGGATTGTTGGATACATATATTTTGAACATGTTGAACTGATTTCTATTTTCTGACCACAAACCTCTGTAGTCAACACATCAAGTTGTACCAGTATGTCATTACAATCAGAGGAAAAGGACAGAAAGAAAACTCCAATTATAGTTTTTTTAATTGTTCAGCTGACTCTTTTCAATAACTCTGCTTTTATCTTCATGCATCTACAAAGTCTTAAATAGCTAAAAAACTAGTTTCCACAATTAGCTCATAGAACCTCAATTCAAAAAAATATATATTATATTAAAAATGGAAACAAAAATATATTAAATATGATTTTTATTCCAAGTCAAGGTCCAAGACCATTTAAAGCATTAAAATATAATTTAATGGAATGCAAGTTGACAGTTTTGTTATTCAAATTTATACTTTAAGGTTTTCAAAATTATTATTTCTCTACAACAGTCCACTTTGCTTGGAAACAACTACATGGTAATTTTAACATTTTGGTTCCAATTTAGTATTTTATTTTAAGTCTCCTGATATTTATAAATTAGATAGAGATAAAATCTTTGAATCTGGGTGTTGTGTTCTGTAAACTGATATTCAATGAAATACATTGGACTATCTCCTTGCCCATTCACAATGCCAGTGTAAGATACATGTCAGAAGTGAAAGGTAAAATATTTAATGTCTTCTTAGCTTTTAGTTGTTCTACAGATTTTATAACTTTTTTTGTTTACTATATGAGAAATCAATGGCTGAACACCTTTGTAGTGTTACTTTCAAAATTCAAGATGTGAATATATTTACGTGAAGAACCTTACATGTTTTTCTTCTATATTCTTAATTTATCACTTCCATTAAAGTTGGTAAGGAATTAAATAAAGAAGGAACATAAGTTCTGTTGTAAAACAAGCAGAAAAAAAAGTAATGAATTGACTTTCGAAGTGTTTCTCATTTAAACTTCCTTAAAAAGGATAATTTATTTATTGATTTTTCTCTGTATAATTTGTTTTTAAGGAAACAAATTAAACAACAAATTAAATATTTCAATATTAAACATATGTTAACTATACTCATGATATGCTATTAATATTATAAATGATAGAACTTGAGGCTATATATAAATTGAGACTTCAATGAGTCTCAATTTATAGCGCATCTATTTGTTTCAATTTAATGATTATTGAGAAAAATCTAATTTAATTTGTAATGCTGAACTTAATAGAAAAATTTTAATATGCTGCACCGAATTTATTTTCACCTGACATTTTCTTGTTTAAATGACAGTCCTTGAAATTAGCAAACCATTATGTCTAAATTAGGAGAAAATTTTATAGCCTTAAACATTCCTTAATGTTGATAATAGTTTTAATAAAGTGCTAATGGGTGGATGTAAGCATGCACAATGCTCATGTATTAAACAAATATAATTACTCCCCAAAATGGGCTTTTGAGGCCCATTAAGTATGTTCTTTAGTCTGCTTTCTTTAAAAAAACGTAACTCCAATAATAATTTTGCATCATTATAATTTTTCTATGCTAATAAGGCTTAAACACAAGAATGTAATTTTTGGTGAAGGCAACTTGATGTATTTAGTTATGATTACATTCAGAATGGGATTCAATTAGTGCAGTTTTACATACGGTATTGTAAAAAAATACAATGTAAGGATAGGTATTAAAAATTTACTTCAGATAAACTTCTCTTCCTTTTTTTCTTCTCTCTCTTTGTCTCTGTCTCTACTTCTCTCTCGTCTTGTACATGAATCACAGATATTTTTCATGATTGGAATATCCCACCATGATTTAAAATTAAATGCAAATAAAACTGGCTTATAGATGTAACAATACATAGTGGCATATATAAACCTCAAGTTTTTATTTCATATTTGATTTATATCCTGTTTTCTTTATATTTCGGTATCCATATTTAATATGAAAAATTAGGCTGGGCACAGGGGCTCACGCCTGTAATCCCAGCACTTTGGGAGGCTGAGGTGGGTGGATCATGAGGTCAGGTGTTTGAGACCAGCCTGGCCAAGATGGTGAAACCCCATCTCTACTAAAAATACAAAAATTTGCCAGGCACAGTGGCAGATGACTCTAGTCCCAGCTACTTGGAAGCTGAAGCAAGAGAATTGCTTGAACCCAAGAGGCAGAGATTACAGTGAGCTGACATTGTGCCACTATACTCTAGCCTGGGTGACAGAGCAAGACTCTATTTCAAAAAAAAAAAGAAAAAAGAAAAATTATAAGATTATCTGACCTCACTGTGAAAGTAATTACTCGTTGATTTTTTAAAATTGTCTGTAGTTCTAAATAAATAAATTGGAAAGTGGTACATATCTGTAGGAATATCTTGTGCAACATTGAAGAACAGAGAAAGACTCTTAAAATCAAGATCTACTCTTTTGGCTTGGTTACTAAATTTGTATTTGTGTGCATGAGAATGTGGTTTAATAATATCCATAAAATTGATATCCTGAGAATTCAAGACAGTGCTATTTAACAATAGTTATCTTTCTGTTTAATGAAAATGGTTGGCTACAGTAAATAACGACTTAACATAAACTTGCCTACACCTAAAACTTTTTATATACAACCTTTATTGTCAATACAGCAAAAACCAACAGTGTAGCACAATGTAAAGACAAAACTAGAGGGAGCAGGATTGGAAACTTGGCCAGGCATACACCTTGGCAAGTTAAAAATAAAACCCAACACTCTCAGCTTCTGTTTCGTTAACATTAAAATGTTGATAATCCTCCCTTCTTTATCCAATTATTGTTAATATTAAATTAGATATTGTATGAAGTACTGCAGAAGCTGTCACATAGTTCTTAATATTAATATTGCATCAATAACATGAAAAGTAACAATACTTTCTCTTCTACCTAGTGCAAGACCTATGCATGTGTGCTAGAAAGTCATCTAATGGGACTCACAATTGACTTCAGCACAGGATTTATCTGCTTTGATGCTGCAACAAAGGTAATGTGTTAAGGTCAACTCTGAGAAATATGCTGCAAACATTCTAATTCAAGGATGATTTAAATGCCTCATAACTCCTTTCAGCATTTTAATTGTAATCATATGTCAGATTTAAGATCCTCGTTTTTGTTAATGGAAGATAAATTATGCTTCAATCTGAAAAAGAGTTTGAATTTTTAATAAAACAAACGTAGTACCACAAAACTGTAACTATGTGAAAGTAAATATTTCTTTATAAGTCTATCTATGTATGTGTCTATCTATCAATCATTTTCCTGTTTTTTAAAGATATGACTTTATAATTGAAGGGACATTTTCTTCCCCAAAAAGCAATTAAAAAAAAATGTTTCTTTATACTTTACCTGCATCAACTTCTGCAAGACAAAAAGGAGGAAAACATGTTGTTTTTTTTAAAAATATATATATATAGCTGACATGTTAAAATTATTAAATGGTGAAAATTTAAAGTTTAGAGTCTAGCCAGGGAGTAGGACTTTTATAAACGCTTGACTTAATAAGGATTATGCACTATGAGGTGCTCTTTTCCCAAAGTATATATCTCTGGGAGTGATGCACATTGAATGAGAGAGGGTGCCTACTCAGCCAGTCATACCTAAAAAAAATCCAATTTTGATTATGATGGAATGACAAATGACAAAGCCAAAGCATTGCACATTATTATCATTATTTTTAATTGGAAGTGATCTTAAAGGTCAACTGACCCCCATTCAACTGGTAATCTCCTTCTAGGCACTACTACAGTTTGTGACTTGGGACCGTTGTCCCCATGGAAGACTTTCTCTTCCCTCTCATTGAGGATCTCAGTTCCTTAGATCCATTCCACTTCCTCCTTCATCAAAGTATGGCTTGGGTATAAATTGATTTGTTCCTTCTCACTAATTTTAAGAATTCATGAATAATTCTTTACCAGAACATACATATTTTATCTAGAAATTAAGTCTTGTGTGGGATTTTCTAAAGCAAATGCCAACAAAATAAAACAGTGGTACAAACGTGTAGGAAAGATGGACTGTAGGAGGCACTGGGGGTGCTTGATTCGGGACAGATGAACGTCTAATGGTGGGATCCAGGTAGGATTCAGCCTTGTGGTCATTCACCTTGTGAATCTTCATGACCCAGCAGTTGGCATTCTCCTGCAAAATCTCACATTACTTAAAGATGGTTAATAATTATTTTTATTTTAATATGGTAAAATTAAACAGTACACATTTGCTGGTCAGATTTGGCCATCTAATGTATTGCCTTTGCATCATGACAAAAGAATACTTTGTGAATAAGGAATTTTAAATGCCAATAACTCTTGAAAACTCTCAAATGAGACTGCCATAAACTATTCCTATTACTAATTTTTTTATTAAAATGCTCATCAAATCAAGATAGGCTCCTGAGTATTAAATTAATTTGATAAATTAATTGAATTAAATAATCAGTTAAATGAGTAATAAGTTAATTTTATAAATAAATTTAGAATCAAATTACACTAACTAGAAAAGTCAAAGTCTGATTTTAAAAAGAAAATGTTATTGCCAGAATTGTCACCAAACTCTGTTACATGAATCTGCAAGAATCTTACATTAGCGAATGAGAAAAATAAAATTCACATGAATATATTTCTGAGTATGTGAATCTATTCTGACTTTATTTTAAGGCTAGCGTAATACTAACCTATGTCAGTGTCCTGTTGACTCTGTATAATAAAGGAGAAAATCATGACACCAATGTCCTATCTGGCATTACTGTCTACTTCTGCTGGGTGTTCTGGGAATGAGTGAGTAGTCAGGAGAGTCTAAGTGAATGATTATGATGCCATCCAGGGAAAGCAGTTTAATAGGAAATGATAATTTAATCAGTCCAAGCTTGATACTCAGGAAAACACCAGAGGCCTTCAGGAATAGTAGTCACTGTTCTATTTTCTGATTCTATCATTGGAAGCATTTAACTTCAAGGCAATCTGAGAATTGGGAAAGGCTAAAAGGAATCTACACATTAATCAAGGAGATTGTAGTATCCATCACAGATTATGATACTTGGAGAATGAAAGTAGGAACTATTAATAGTTATGTCGGACATAAAGAGGAGGAAAAGCAAAAATGGAGATTCCTGGACAAACCACTGAACTGGGCTTACTGCAAGAAACTTGCACCCCTTCATCAAATGAGCCTGGAAGTTATTTTTAAATATGACCAAAAAAAGATAATTGTTACATACAAATCAAAACATGCTTTGTCCAATGTTTTATTAAAATAAATAATATCTAGTTATTTTCTGTCTATTTTTGCTAAGTAATATGAATGTGAAAAATATCTTTAAGACTATATGTTCAACAGTTTTTAAATGTTTGGATTCAGGAGAGTTTACCCTTTAGCTGAATATGCTTTGTCCTTCTGCACTTCTTCTTGTAACTTCCAACCTTGAAGTTACTACAGAAGCAAACCAAAGGTCTTGTAATAAGAGATTCCAGGGAAGGGGTGGACTCTATTCTGGGTCATTAAGTGAGCTCCATATAAAGCAGATAGTGTATTGTTAATATATCAATGAAGGAAAGAATTGCTGCATCTCTTATTTCAGGGAATGAGAGTCTGCATGATTTTAGATTTCACTGGTATGCTAAATGTGTGGATGTAGAGGGGTGTCTGAAAATGTCAAGCTAATTCTCATTACTTACCACCTGTGCTTGGAAGTTCCCAGAGTAAAAGATTACCGTTGACTTGCCAGAGCATAAGACATATTAAATAGCATTCTGCTCCCTATGCTTACATTTACATTAGCAGGGTATAAGGAGGTGATACATTCTTCAGTTCCCTTACTGTTGCTGAGTGATTTCCTCCCAAATTCATTACTATACAGCTCAGCTTGTTCTTTGTCATTCTCATCCTTATTAAAATGTAGCCTTTTCACTGTTAGAGAAGGGTATTATTATTATTATGTCAAAGAATAATGTTAACCGTACTTAATTTACATAGCTAAAAGCATAGCCTTGTTGCCATTATATTCTTTTAAATATGTATATGTGCATTAATTAATTATATCTAGTGATAGAGTTCCTAGTTAAATAGAAATCTCAGCAGTGGCATCTACAAAACACTCATTTAATTTATGAATAAATCTTCATCGAATGCCTGCTGTCTCTTGTGAGACATGGGAGAGCATACACATCAGTCTTCAAAGACGTTTCCTTAAAGTTGAGACAAGCAGGATGAAACTGCCCAGACAGATATCTGTAAGTGAGCAAGGACAAGGAATTTGAGGGAAGAGGGGGATGAGAGATCATGTTTATGAGTATCTAAGAGCCAGATTTTAAAAAAAGATCCAATTAAGAAATTGGAAGTGATTCTAAGAACAGGGGAATACATTTAGGGTTTGAGACAAAGGAAAGAAATGATCACATGTGTGTTTGAGAATAGAAAACTACTGAAATAATGTTTGACTGAAATTAAGACCATCTGGGCAAAATCCAGATTCCAAATGTGTTTTTCGATTCTTTTTTTATTTTTAATTTTTTAAATTATACATTACGTTCTGGGATACATGTGCAAGACATGCATGTTTGTTACATAGGTATACTTGTGCCATCGTGGTTTGCTGTACCCATCAACCTGTCATCTAGGTTTTAACCCCTGCCTGCATTAGATATTTGACCTAATGTTATCCCTCTCCATGCCCCTACCCCCAAACAGGCCCCAGTGTGTGATGTTCCCCTCCCTGTGTCTATGTGTTCTCATTGTTCAACTCCCGCTTATAAGCAAGAACATGTGGTGTTTGGTTTTCTGTTCCTGTGTTAGTTTGCTGAGAATGATGGTTACCAGCTTCATCCGTGTCCCTGCAAAGGGAGTGAACTCATCCCTTTTTTATGGCTGCATAGTACTCCATGGTGCATATATGCCACATTTTCTTTATCCAGTCTATAATTGATGGGCATTTGGGTTGGTTCCAAGTCTTTGCTATTATAAATAGTGCCTCAATAAACATGCGTGTGCACGTGTCTTCATAGGAGAATTTATAATCCTTTGGGTATGTACTCAATTTATAATCCTTTGGGTATACACTCAGTAATGGGATTGCTGGGTCAAATCGTATTTCTGGTTCTATATCCTTGAGGAATCACCACACTGTCTTGCACAATGGTTGAACTAATTTACACTCCCCACCAACAGTGTAAAAGTGTTCCTATTTTTCCACATCCTCACTGGTATCTGTTGTTTCCTGACGTTTTAATGATTGCCACTCTAACTGGTGTGAGATAGTATCGCATTGTGGTTTTGATTTGTGTTTCTCTGATGACCGGTGATGATGAGCTTTTTTTCATATATTTGTTGGCTACATAAATTTCTTCTTTTGAGAAGTGTCTGTTCATATCCTTCATCCACTTTTTGATGGGGTTGTTTTTTTCTTGTGAGTTTATTTAAGTTCCTTGTAGATTCTGGATATTAGATCTTTGTCAGATGGATATGTTACAAAATTTTCTCCCATTCTGTAGGTTGCCTGTTCACTCTGATGATAGTTTCTTTTGCTGTGCAGAAGCTTTTTAGTTTAATGAGATCCCATTTGTC